GAGAGAGAGAGAGAGAGAGAGAGAGAGAGAGAGAGAGAGAGAGAGAGGGGGGGGGGGGAGAGGGAGGATGGCCACTAATCGAATCACGGGCACTGAAGGCCATGGTCATGACTGTACGCTACCCAAATCGTCACCTGTGTATGGAGTCTAGAAATCTACTCTAGTGTATACAGGTGACCATTTGGGTCAGATAGAGACATGATGTGGGTGCCAACAATGCCCACGATTCGTGAAGTGGCCGTTGTCTCTCCTCCCCCCCCCCCCCTTCTCTCTCTCTCTCTAATGTATACAGCATAGCGGCGCACCAGTGCGCAGCGCGGGGCGGTGCGGTGCGCAGTGCACAGTGCACAGTGCAGGCACTGTGGGCGGTACGCCGGGCACAAGCAAAAATAAAAAAAATAAAAAGTATTCGAGAGAGAGAGAGAGAGAGAGAGAGAGAGAGAGAGAGAGAGAGAGAGAGAGAGAGAGAGAGAGAGAGAGAGAGAGAGAGAGACACTAAAGGGCCCCCTTTTCGTCAATTCAGGTCCCCCTGCAGGTAACTCAAATGGCTCCGACAATACACTTCGACACTGTGGAGGCATTGAGTACCGTCACTTCAGCAAGCAGGGTGGCAGCGTCATATATGAGAGAGGTGGGAGCAGACCACCAATATATTCTGTGGGGGCGAGTTCAGGTCTTTAGCTCGGGAGTTATGGGTCACCAATTCAGCTAGACCCTGTTTGTGTCTGCACGTGATTCTCAGTGCCTAGCTCCACCACTCAGTGGTACTCACCAAATTTATAACATTTGAATGAATCTTCTGCTAAAACGTGGAACCATACACCGTCATATGGCATGTCTTTTGTGCATGTGGTGAGTAGTGGCCAGAGGTGCCTTGGGCCACTGTACGTATTCAGAAGAAGACAAAAAGGAAAAAACGAGAGAGCTACAGGCATCTTCACCGCCACTGTACGTATTCAGAAGAAAACAAAAAGTAAAAAAACGAGAGAGCTACGGGCATCTTCATCCTAACCCGTAACTGCCGGCATGCAGACCTGAATGCCAATCTTCAGCATATATTGGTGGTCGGCTGAACTTACCAAACATGAAGTGTGCCATCTGCGAGACAGCGTAGGCCAGGGCAGTACTGGGCAATTATACCCTTCTTGCAAATCCGTCCACCTCTGCATGGGATTTGCAGAAGGAAAGGGAAAGTCCAGTTATCATACCCCACTGTTGCATACCGTATAGGTGCAGACCAGAACAAGAACCGACCTTTCAATACAAAGTATAAAATAGCACAGCGGAAGACTTAGATACCAATGATCCGAACAATCAATATTGCAATGCAGCCCCAAACATACATCATCATCATCATTCCATGGTGTGAAGGGGTCTGGCGCTTCACACAGGAAGACTGCGCCAGTCCCAACCATACA